TGAATGCATTGGATGACTAAGCAGGGAACGATGTGTATCCTTCTGATTTGATAAGAATACCCTATTTTTTGGGGGGTATGTTTAGTTGGGCGTGATGGGATCAGCAAATTGGGGCAGGATATCTTTCAGTTTGTGAAAGTGTCAGCGACGAAATCAAGGTTGTGTTCCGCGAATGAATGCATGTTTCAGGCTTCGATGGATTTCATTCTAAAAGCTATGTCACTTGCTTGAGAACAGAAGATCAGGGATATAGGTAACTTTGAACCTGTCAACCTCTTTTTTACTTTTAAGAGAAACTTTAGGTTGAAAAACCGAGGTGTACTTTGTTCTTACTTGTTACGAGCAAAATGGATTTATAAATTAAAGTTTACGAGTGATTCTTCAGTTTTCATGAAGTCACTGGATTTAGAACAAATGATTTGAGAACTAGCTTTTTAAAGAAGATGTCATGCCAGTTTCTAAAAGTTCCAGAATGTTACCAACAGCCGTGATCAAAACTCCCTCCTTCCTTTCCTACTCTAGCAATTAGAGAGATTTATCAACCAAAGACTTCTTTCCTGGTATATAAATTCTTTGATCTTTGCCCCAAATCCCTTTTTTTGTTCTGTTCTTCGAGCTGAGCAATGGGATTTTTGGTTGAAAGAATTTGACACTTCTATTTATTGAGAAGATACCTTCTATTCTGCTAGGGACTTGCTCACTATTTCATTTTTGACCCACAAGATACTCCATACAGTAAGAGTTTCCGAATCCTGCTTTTAAAGTCTTTCATCTGATACAATCGCTCAATTGTACACACATGATAAATTTCAGCAATAAAGTTTTTTTTTGAATTAGCTATAGAACTCCTCCAAAACACGACTTAGCTATGTAGAGTAGAGGGACATATTAGCAAGGTTTTGCAAATATGACCGTCCTGAGCAATGGAAACACTGTATTTTGATTGAATCATTGTGGTCATTCTATTAGGTTCTTTGGAACAAATCTTAGCAAGTTAGGTCACC